CGGTTCAGCTCTTCACTCTGAAACACGGAAAACATTAAATGAGAAATATGGGGCCTCTAGGTAGAGGTCATAAGGCTTTCACAGCAGTCTTCTGTGTGTATGAATAATTATTTTGTTTCTTTAAATGATTTTTTTGGTTAGTATTTGTATAGTGTGGAGGTTTTTCTACCTTGGTATGGAACCAGGCCTCAGCATCACTCCTGTTCTTCTCAGCCATGTGTTCATACTGGTCTCTCATATCAGCCAGGATCTTGGACAGGTCAACGCCTGGAGCAGAGTCCAGTTCAACGCTGACTTGGCCAGCTGCTTGCCCTCTGATGGCACTCATTTCCTGTGTGGGCATGGCAGAGGAAGACAAAAGAAGGCACAATCATAAACTGGAAACATTATGAACCTTCCGTTCTTTCTTCAAGGGCTAAGGTCTGAGGGACTCTCCTGAAATACTTGCAGGAAGTATCTTTAGTTTCTAATCTACGTAGAAATCTGTTCTTCCCTGTTGGAGAGCCCAGGGCAATCCTGAGGGACTCCACACTTCCACATGCTGTTTTTCTAATGTCACTTTCAAAAGTGTTATTTGTGGTTTTTTTACCTCCTCATGATTTTTCTTGAGGTAGGCCAGCTCCTCCTTTAAGTTTTCAATCTGCAGCTCCAGGTCCGTTCTAGCCAGGGTCAGCTCATCCAGGACTCTGCGCAGGCCGTTGATGTCAGCCTCCACGCTCATGCGAAGAGCTTGCTCTGTTTCAAACCTTAAAAAACCAAAACAAAGCTGTTCAGGTTAGCTGATGAAGCCAGCCCACCATGAAACACATTATTTGCTATAAATTTATCTGGTTTCGTAGGATTTATGATGTAGCAAATGTTATCCAGCATCAAACTTTTATCCACATATTTTCCATGGTGCAGATGGTGCTTTCAGCAAATACAGGAAGGGCTGAACTGCGACAACAGGATCAAACCAGTGTTCGTAGCAAGGCATTCCTTGCTTTTTTCGCAGCTGCTGCCCTTTGCTGCCCTTTGGCTCAACAAGGATTTTTGCCTGCTCAAAAGGCCTTTTTCCTTTCAGAAGTTACTCACTTGGTTTTGAAGTCATCAGCAGCCAGCCTGGCATTGTCAATCTGCAAGACAATCTTCGAGTTGTCGATAGTGGCATCGAGGATCTACAAACAATGAGAGTTCATTGCTGAGGCTGAAACAGCTATGTTATCTTCTTTCCTGGTCTGAAGATTGAGTTAAGATTCTATTTCACCTGTAGCTACACCAAATGAAGGCGTATTTTATTTGGTCTCAGAAGGAAAGTATCAATGATCTGTAGCAAATATGTAGCACAGATTTATCACAGTACTTTTGCTAGGATTATTGTCTGTTATGGATAGGTCCTCTTACTCTTGCCTGGCATATGAAGTGGCTCTCAGCTAGAAGGCGCACTGTGAGACAAAGCTACCTGCTATCTTAGAGGGAGAGGACTTTGGTGAGCCAGGGGGTAGTGGTGTTTTAGGACTGAGGCAAGAAACCTGTTTCCTGGAGAGATGCAAAGCAATCAAAGCCAGCAGAGCCCTCTTGGCAGAATTTGTTCTCGTTATGCATTTTCTTAACAGTGGAAAGTGATTACGAGGGCCGTTATGATTTTAAAATAGATGACATGTTTATGTTTTTAAACAATATGGGTTCATATTGCATTTGTATAGTCTTTGAACACATTTTTATTTCCTAGAATATCCAGGATAGTGTTTATTGTTTCTTCTAATGCAGCATGAAAACCCCCTAAAGGAAATTTTGTTTATTTAGAAGCAATCCCTGTTAATTTTTACCTGGAAAGCATTTCTTTTATGGCTGCCACTTTTAAAGCTCAAAGGGTCATCCATAAAACCAGCTGGGACAACATTTTCTCTCCCCTAACTAAGGGGAGTGAAAGACAGAAGGAAAAGAATACTGAAAGGAGGAAACCTGATTGCCAGTTCTGCCTTCACTGGAGCTCATTTTTTGAAATCGATAGAGAATGTGAATGGGTTGAAGCAAGGAGAGAGGAAACTGCGTGGGAGCAGTCATGAACTCCAAGCTGAACTGTGAAAACTAAACCTCATAAACTAAACCTTGATCAGCTACCACCTATGTTTTCCGGGGCGTGTACCATCTCAAAGCAAGCTGTTATCAGGTACCCATGGGCAATTGGGGCAAATCCTGCATTTATATATGGGATGGATTACTTCATGTCTGCTACTTCCTTTTTCCAGAAGCCAAATGTTTCAGTATTCTTATTTCAATTCCAAGCTTAAGTAAGTGAAACGTGAAAGAAAAATAAATGTATGGTGATAAAATCTGCTGCTATCTTCACATTTACAAAATCATACTTAACCTATTTTTACTTTTACCATTGAAGTGGTGTGTCTGTGCCTTTGAAGTTTTTCAAGCTGTATGGTAGGTAACAGACTACAGAGACAGGCAGCTTGCTGTCATTGTTTGGCTCTCTTTATATTTATCAGTATGTATACGGACATATTATATATATATATATTAACTGGTCATATATGTGTCAATGACCAGCATGTGTGTATATATATGTGTGTGTGTGTAGGTATATATGTATATATGCTTTGTTAAAAGCAAACATCGTCAGAGAACTAAGTACTAAGGCATCTCAGACTGACTGTTTTGTACATTCTCTTCACTAACATTCAAAAAAGTAGTTAATTCCATACCAATAATTTTCTTTATCCACCCTGCCTGATCATTGCATATTCATTTCATCTTCCTCTCCCTTTCATAAACTGCAACACCTGCTGGGTGCTTTCCCAGTGAAGTTTTTTTCTTCGGGTTTTTATGCTTCCTTCTTAAGTGCAAATCTAAGATGATTTTTAATAAATATTAACACCTACCTTGTCTCGAAGGTCTTCAATAGTGCTGTAGTAAAGACTGTAGTCCCGAGATGGGCCTGGTCCTTGTTTCTGGTACCAGTCTCGGATTTTATTTTCAAGATCAGAGTTTGCCACTTCCAGTGCACGCACTTTGTCCAGGTAAGATGCGAGGCGCTCGTTCAGGCCTTGCATAGTTGCCTTTTCATTTCCTGAGAGGAGGCCATCACCACTACCAAAACCACCACCATAACCACCACTAAAGCTGCTGCTAAAACTACTTCCGTATCCACCACCCAGGCCGCTTCCTAGGCCAGAAGACACAAATCTAGCAGAAGACACTGACACACCCCTACCACCAGATCCACCATGGATGCTGGGAGCCCGAAAGCCACCTCCACCGAAGCGGACCGAGGAGCCACCACTTCCCCCTGCCACAGAAGAGGTAGTCTGCCTGAAGCTGTAACTGGCCATGGTAAGAAATTCCAAGGACCTAACGCAAGCTGCAGCTCACACAGTTTGTGATCCTGAGGCGGGAGTGTGTGCTCCGTTCCCCCACCCCACCTCTTTTATGCCTGTGACAATGGGAGTTGTCTCCAGATTGTGTTATCTGAGACCCATGGAATTTATCAGCCCTAGGCCTTCTGCCAACACGGCAATTCCTCTTATTGGTCAGTCGCTGTGAAGTGGGCTGTGTTTCTTTCCCAAATGCCTTCAAGCACAGGAACTGATTCCCTCCCCCTGACCGTTGCCTCTTGAAGCAAAAGGTGGGATTCAGAGGAGGTGTCACCCTAGCATTCATAAATCCAGTTATAGTTTACCCATATGGAAACCAAAGGGCTGGGAGCACACAGCCCTGCTACGGCCAACGCTGCGTCCGTTAGTGAAGCCACGTGACGACTTGCTTCATGTAATCTCAGGAAAGAACTTCCATGCAGAGGGATTAAGTTAGTAATCGGTAGACTGATAACAGAGCTCAAAAGGAGCCGAAATGGTGAACAATAGGTGTGGACTTTGACAAAACAAGTTCCTGTCCCCCTGTTTTCTTTATTTCCCTTGAGAAAAATTCTTTCAGAAGTATCATTTTCACTGTCTCTTTCTTTGCTCTCAGTTCCTTTCGGGCTGACAGTAGAAGAGAGGGTCTGACAGAGAACATGCCTTGTCTGGACGAGTCTGGTTTTCTAAAGAAAGAATAACCCTTTTCAAGCAACTGTATCTGTCTTTGTGGCAGAGATAAGCATGAAACTTCCCGGAGTACCTGGGGGGTGAGCAACAATGGAAACAAATGACTGATTATACATTTAATCCTTTCGTTGCTACTGAAACAGGGAAGCAGACATAAGAGACATAATCACTTAATCTTCTGCTCTCTGAGATTCATGAAAATCTTATTTCTGAAATGTTGAAGTCCTCTGTTATCCAAGATGCATTTTCAAAAGCAATGTTGCTTTTGTTACTGGAAGCTCCTCCATGAGCAGCACTAACATACGAGTGGATACTCGCACCTTCCACTCTCTTTCTTTCACTTGCCACCCCGCACTCGCTTCGAACCTCTGGGACTCTGCAGGAGAGCTGTATCCACGGAAGGGGGAGGAAGTTGGCCTACCAGCATTTGCAGCTTTCAGGGAGCTGGGGCAGAAATTCTGCTGCCTACAAGTGCTTCCACTGAACAGAACCTTTGGAGCACAAGATGCATGCTGTGATGTTTCAACGAGAAATCCATTTAATACCAAATAAAGAATTAAAGATAAGCCACATGAAATGCATACTTTGTGTGAGAGCCTGTCTAGCCTTTCTATACCCACAAAAATGCATCAGGTATTTTAGACCTCACGTTAGTGCTGTACTCACTTTGTACAGGGAGAAATGTGAAAGTGCAGGGCAAATATAGGGAGGGTAGAAGAACAAATATACAAACGGGAAGCTGGCCAAGGCACCTGTATCAACAGTCCTGTTGGTCTGTACTGAATTATGAGGCTGTATCGGAAAGAGGAATTCCGCAATGACTCAGGTACAGAATATGTCACTTGACATATACAATATATGTACCATACATTACCTGACTGTGTTGCTGTAGCCCAGGGGCATCACAACTGAATTCTTTCTGTAGAGACTGTTGCATTTACGCAGCTTTCCAGCTTGCGCAGTAAAACTCTACAGCCTTTCCTAAGAGATACAGAGGACATTTCTGTCTGCCAAAGACGTGCTGGTCATTCCTTCTGTAGATCTGAATGTCCTGTTCAGCCCTGGGTAGGAAAAACCTGCCCAGCAGGTATCTGTTCCAAGTCCTGTGGATAGGTGAAACAATAGCATCAGACACTGACAGTCTGCCTGCAGAGAAAAAGAAAGCTGGAGGAGAGCTGTTCTTTTACTGTTAAAGTCCGTAGTTAGAGCATAAAGAACCTACGTCCGTGTGCGTTTCTTCACTGAACAGAAATGCGAGAAGCTTGAAGGGGAACAGGTACCGGTGTACTCTGATTTGCCTCCTGCTGCAGGGAGAGAGGAACACCCTTCCCTCTAGGCAGTCCTTCACCATTCCCTAGACTCCCATGGCAGGTCCTCAAAGCAGTGTATTTTGGGATGTAGCAAAATAAAATGCACATTGATGATCCTGCCTAATATTTTATGATCCGATTAATGAAAATTGGGGTCTGGAAGGCCTCTACATTCCCTCTGAAACCCCTTCAGTAAAAGCAGTGATCATCGTACAGTATACTGCTAGAATACGGATAATGTACTGCCAGCAGGTTAGGTTCGCTTCAGTGTGCGGGGGCAGATTCCCCAAAGAATGAACTGCAATTCGTCATGGCTGTTTGGAAGTACATCTGAGAGTGTCAGGAGAGGAAAAGCTTGGGAGACACGTTCAAGGGAGTAACTATTTAATCTTATTTATACCACCAAATACATCATAGGCTTCTAGTAGTAAATCAGTCCCTCGTGCAGCATTCTTACTAAAACTGCATTCTAAGTTTCCAGAACAGTTTTGATTTTCTTGTAACTTTACATCTCTCTTATAGCTCAATGGCTGCATGTCTTTGTTTTTGTGGGGACTTCCTTAAGGCGAGAACATGTACTTAAATGCTTGAAAAAACCTTTAGTATGGCAAAGTATTTACTCAAGAAAGAAGGTGCTTTTATCATTCTGTGTAGGCTTTTTTATCTCCCACTACAATCAACCTAGTTTATCTTAGGCTCAGCTTTTCTCTAAAAGAAATATAAGGAGTGGTTAACAGAAGGAATTTCCTTTATCTGCAGCTTATCGGAGGGTCAGGGGCACCCAGTGATTGAAGTGAAGCCATCTGGTAGACTGGTGGCGAAAGTCCCCGCCCAAGCTCCTGCCTGAACCCTGGTTCTGCTTTACCTTTATCTACTCTGCTTTGCTGGTCACTACTGCTTTACAAAATTGTTCATATTGTTTCAGGGTATTTTTATTAATTCTCTTGTAAACCATTTTTTATTGCCCTAGAGTGACACTGGTGGAGACTTCACTCTTCCTGCTAAATTTGCTTCCAAGGATTGCAAAAGCAGTTACAATCAAATGAACTCTGTGAACATTTTAACGTATGTTATTGGTGCCTGGAACTCCACGGATGTTTCTAGCAACGAATGAGCAAAGTCAGATTATTATTCTGAATTTACCGTTTAAATCTGTGTTTGTCCCTTCTGATAACTTGACTCTTTCGTATGTGCATTTTCAGTCGTCATCTCTTCTCTTGCTCATTAAAACTTTGGCCACCCCACCCTACTGCTCGTGTCATATGCCCTCCTAAAATCACAACTTTGTATTTTTTTCTCTTCTGTTGAAGATCATAGGCATAAAACGTTTGAATGTCTTTAATTGCAACAAAAAACTTTCTATTTTTTCTTTAAACTTCCTTGTCGGAAGAACCAACAATAAAAAGAACTGCTCTGCAGCTAGTACTGAAATGGATATGTTGAATGTCTGACTAAGATACAGTTCTTAGCTGTCTTGCTTTTATATCCCATCTGTTTTTTTGCTAATCCTTACAAACCTTGCATTGCCACATATTCACTGAATGTGCCAGGAATGTTTACCTGATGCAAAGGCAGGTCCTAGCACATGCACACACAGCTGTTAGCAGCTGAAAAAGAGGGTAGATAAGAGCAGAGAGCAACACTCTTAAATTTCTCAAAATTGCTGGTTTTGCCATGTGGAGGGGTGATTTGGTGAGGAGAAATGCACGTGGGTGTCCTGATTTCTGCATTGAAAGAGATGAGAAATAACGTCATGTAAGGGTTCAGTCTTAAAAGAAATTAGAAGAGTGAGATGCAGGACAACTCATTCTTGTCCAGGGGCCTAGTTCTGTCATGGCCGAAAAGAAACGATGATTGCATGATTGGAGCTGAACTTGAAAGACACGGATTCCTGTTCAGCTACAGGCTTCTCTAGTGATGTTGGGACATAGAACTTAATTTCACAGTGTTTGTCATTTATGTAATATTTGAATAGATTAGTGTGAGGAAAATACATAGAAGATCATGAAGATCTCAAACATTGAAGTAACTGGGAGCAATGTAAATACTTGGCAAATACTTGAAACTGGATGTGGTGTGTACTTTTGGAAATGCCTGATTATTGTCTCTGTCACCCTAGAAACATAAATAGCTTTAAAAATCTGGAGCTGACTTCTCTGTCAGTCCAGAAATGTAATGATAATGTACATCAGGGAGTAAGGTACCTGAGATAGATAGGAAAATAGAACAGATTTTCTTATGGCATAATTTAAAATTGTGTGGGAAGAAAGGATCAGGAAGGACACCAAGCCCTGATGAGTGAAAGACAAGTCACTGGATATATTTTTGCACTTCCTTTAACCTGTTATCTGGTTGGTAAATCTCAGCAAGGTATGATGGGGCTGGAAACTATTATGAAGAGTCAAACGTCTAACTGGCAAAAGGATGTGTTCCAATAGTCAGGTTTCTGCAGGCAGCAGCAATAAGCCGCTGCCAAAACCAAATCGACTAAACCTGTCCCCAGCTTCAGAGGAACCAAGCACATGTGGAATGGCTGCCATGTCAGCTGCCGTTCCGCAGTGATTCATGCCGAAGGAGGGGGCCCAGAGCTATTCAGAGGGCAGTTTCCCATAGGCCACATGGAAAATTCCTGCTCAGAACAAATCCCAGGCCTGGCAGAAACAGAGTACGTGGTTTTGTAGCACAGAGAGAGATGAGCTAGTTTATTCTGTTTGTGTCTGTAAAACATTTGGAGAGCATATTTGTGTTTGTACTATTTATTTTTATATGCTCATATATTTATATTTATATGCATATATTTATATATTTGTATTTATATACTTATATATTATTATTATTTCTCTTTCTAATTTTATAAAACTATATCCTGGTCATAGTGACAAGCCGTGGCTTCCAGTAAGGGTAGAGGTTTTACTGTGCAAGCATTCAACACCTTCTTCACCAAATTAGAAAACCAGGAGCTCTCTTTGTACCCTGCTGATGGATCCTGTCAACTGGATTTGGGCTTTCCTGATCCTACAAGTGGTTTCATACTGATTTTTGCTTGAAGTAAATTCTCAGAGCCTCCAGATCTTTGTTAGGCTCACTAAGAAAATCAAACTCTGGGTTGGTCTCCGAGAGCGAGTCCTGTAGGCGTTGGTTTGCAGAGCTGCTGCCAGGGCGGTGTTTCTGAAACACCTTGTTCTCATAGCAACTATCAGCTCACCGGGAAACACGTTCTGCAGCCCTGGTTTTGTCAGAATGACCACATACCTTTAAGGAAGGAAAAGGGTATTTCTAATTACTCAAGCAGTTTGCTCCATTTTCAAAAAGAAGTCGTTTATAGGCAAATTTCACAGTATTTTTGTGTATCAGGTAGGTTACCTTCGACGGTCCTGGATATTAACTGTGACTGAGAACCATGGTTTTCCACCAGCCTCTGACACTTATATTCAGCTTTAAATCTTCTTTTAATTAAACACGAAGGTCTGCACCAACTGCCTAGATATTTTGGGCAGCCCACCACCACCAGATCAAGCTGACTGAAATAGCTGCAGAGTGCCTTTTCACTCTTTTCTGGTGGATTCAGCTTTACTAACTGATAAAAACTGTGAGATTTTGGTGACCTGATTTCTTACAGCATTTTCAACAAAAAGGACTTGTCAGCATTTGTTTAAAATATTTGTGTGTGTGCAATCACTATGAATTTTTTGGCACTGCCATAATTTTTGATAGTCTGGGATCGAGTTGTGGGAAAGAACTGATCTAAGACTAGAAATGTTGATTAGTAAGGCTGTGAGTGCCTCTGATCCAGTTGCCCTCCTGCTGCCAGGGCTGTTTAAGCACGGGAGTCGGTGCCAACGGAAAGGTGTTCCCTGCAGCCAGTCTTTGCAATGCGTCTCTGAGCGTGGGCTCGTAGATCGTGGGTCATTAGGAGTAATTGCAGCGCGCATAAACTTCTCTTGAGGCAGTATAAAGTTGTGAAAATCAGCTCTGGTGCCCCTGAAATTGCATGTTCGCAGTGTCAGCCACGAGAGAGCACTTGCCTTTGATGTCTGGCATAGTGTGAAAACACTTAAAGAAATTCAGAAGTTTGTTGGGATTACCACTCCAAAATGTTACGTATTACGTGAAACTTCATGGAAAGCTGTTACTTGGAATACAGAAAGAACGGGTTTTTGTACTTGCTTCACCTGACTGCTGTTTTCGTTCATGGTTATGGTAGGCTGGTAAATGTGAGAAATGCCACAGAAGTAGCTTCCTTTCATCTGATTTTTTATCAGAGGCACAGTGAGTCGCAGGTTTTCTTTTTTAATTCCTTGAGACAGTGGGGGGGCCAAGCGGGGAGTCTGCCTTGCAAGAGGCCGAAGGGAAGGGGCCTGGCCGGGCTCCGGCAGCAGGCACTGCCGCAGTGGGACCCTGGCCTTGTCGCCAGGAGTGCGAGAGGCTTTGGAAGGAGCGTGCACAGAGCTGCCAGACTTGGAAGCAATGGGCTGCTGTGCCTGTCCGTACCTGGCAGCCGCCTTTGCAAACGAGAACATTTGCTGCGGGTCTGGATCCTGCAGGTACACGCAGTCGGATGCAGCACGGAGCCCCGCAGAGGGTTCGCTCACTAATTTCTGGTTCGTGTTTTGGATTCTTCTCTATCCAGCTCTTTCCCCCTCTCATCTGCATTTAACCTCCTGAAAGTGTTATATTATGCAAGTGGAGACTGTTAATTTCCAGAATTAGAAACTCAAACATATCCAAAGATTATAATGCCCAATACCTTTGGAAATAATAACAGTACAAAATGTCTCCCCTATAGACGTGTTTTTTAAACATAGCACCATTGGACTGAACCTCATTCTTGATAAAAATCTTCTCCTCTCCACTGGGTAATGCCAGGCTCCCTCGCTAGGGCAGCCATTGCTGCTGCTAAAGGAGTTGGAAACAGAGACAAACCACGCCAGTTGAAAGCATGCAAGAACAGTCCAGGAGGTTTTGACTTAATCTGAATTTGCTGATTTCATATGGAATTACCTCAAAAACTTCAGGCAGAGCGATGTGAAACAGATTCTTCCTCTCTTTCTCTTCCCTGACCTTTGTAATGAATTAATTTTTAACCTTGGTACTGCCAGTCTATTAACTTGGTTTATTACCCCTCTGGTGTCACAGTGTTACACCTGTGGAAAACGTGTCGATTTTATGATTATTTAGGCTGTTCTTTCTTTGGCCTAACCATTTCTCAGGTCTGGGGCTTGAATTTAATTTTGAGCTTATATCAAGCAGTTTCTGTCACAAATCCTGCTGTGTATTTTCTGAATTTGCCACTAGAGGGTGCTGTGTGAACCAACGTGCTCCACGGACTGGCACGCTGCATGGACTGAGACGCTGCATGGACTGAGACGCTGCATGCACTGACACGCTGCATGGACTGACATATTGCATTGTCAGCTTCAGAAACAGCCTGTCCCCTGT